CGGGAGGAGGGTGGCCGCGCCCTCTACTCGGGGTAAGCGCTGGGCCCGGCCCCCGCCCGCCCGCCCTTCCCGGCGGGTGTAGCAGGCTGGAGGGGCCGGGGCGCCTGCGGGGGCTGGGGGCTTCCCTGGGGCAGGGTGCAAGGATCTGCATGGTGAGGCTGAGGGCTGCCTGGGGGCCGGCTGTGTGCGCCGGGGCCGGCTGAAAGGTTGCTGGGGAAGCGGAGCTTGCGGTCCTGGACGCCTGAGAGAGCGAGAGCCGTGCTTCTTGGGGGTGCTTGAGCTGTTACGGTGGCACAAGTGGCGCGAGCTCTGCCTCTTGCGGTTTGGTGGCTGATGGGGAGCGACTTGTGCTGGACCTGCAAGGGAGGCCACCAGGGTGGCAGGGTTCAACTGGATTTCATTTGTTCACCCACTCAGGATTGCCCCTGCGTTGCTGAGACAGGCATCTTACGGCACCATAAAGATTGGCATTTACCAGAGTTTGAAGCGGCTGTTTGTAGATCGCTTGGAAGGTCAGTGTTAGTAAATGTGTCAGCATGGACACATCGCACAGGAGGGGCACCGTGAAACCTTGTGCTCTCCATTCTGTATGTTTTTGCTCATTCCCTTCTTTGCCCTTCCCAGGCACAGATTCCCCAAGAAATGGAGCGTTTTTTCCGCTTCCCACTATGCCTTTTTGTTTGTGTAATAATAGCGGGGATAGGTTTCGACAGAGGATCTTGCTGTGCTTGGCACTATCCACAGGTGCAGAAACAACCCCTAGGCAAGCCCTCCCCTTCTAAACCAATCTTTCCTTTCACCAGCCTTTATTTGTATTTTGCAATATCGGAGCCAAAAAAGCTATTGTCAGCTCAGGCTCATCTCTTCTTGCCGATTAGCCTCGGGAAAAACAACGTGTCCCAGTTGTATTCCCTGGACTTCCCTGTGTTACTTGGATTGAAAGCTTCAGTGGCAGAGCTTTGCCAGATCTCTGCTGGAGCCTTTGAGTCCTTGATACCCTCGCAGCACCTCTGGTTTGCATAGAAATTATAGTGTACAACTCTTTCGGTTTTGCTCCAGCCCCATAGGATAGGATACTGTGAACACTCTTGACCTGTATGCCTCTGGTAATGAGAGCCTCTGTCACTCCTATCTAGATAGCAGGACGCTAGGAGTCTGATATGTCTTCACTGAAGGAACCACCGAGCACTGGATGCACAGATAAGGTTTAATCCCTTGCTCTGACACGAGTGAATGTTGTAGTGATGTTACGGCCTGGGAAAGGGATATGAGGGAGGCTCGGGCCGTGCAGCAGGCCAGTGAGAGGACCAGTACAGCACAGTAAGGCTTTTTCCTGGGGTTGCTCTACTTTTTGAGTAACATCTCTCTCTGCGCTTGGTTCTGTGGTTCGTACACTGGGCTGCACATCTCTTCCCGGCTTGCTGCTGCTGCATTTCCAGTTGTGAGTACTGTTGTCTGAATGTTTGTCTCCCTACAGGCCTGGGGCAGCCAGTGGCCTGGTCTCCTCTGGGAAGTGCTGTGGTCAGTACCAGCCAAGGGCCATGCCTTTTTCCAACATAACCATCCCTCTAATACCGGGCCTGGAAGTCTTGGAGACTCCTCCCTCCTTCCCACCTGGAACTAATTGCATCTAACTTTCTAATTTTTGCCTGGGTCTCCTGCTCTCTGTTTTCTCAAGGTGGCTGCATATTCTGAGTGCAGCCAGCTGGGGCTCCAGAACAAAACTTTGTGGTGTTAGGTTACCTCAAGAAGCATTTAGTTGTCCCTCTCTGTTCTCCCTCTATCTTGGCCTGTCTCCACCACAATCAGGGAACACTGAAATCCCAGGTAACTGTTGAAAATTTTCCTCTATAGCAATCTTTTCCTTGCCCAATCAGCTAGACTCATCGGTCAGATCTGCTTCTCTCTGAAAGTATGTTGCTGAGTGTTTCAGCTGCTGCTGCCAGAAGCCTCTGGCAGCTGAGGCAGGTATGGGGTTAGATCTGCCAACAGCTGAAGGTAGTTGGTCAGTCTCTGCTCATGCAACTTCACCATGTGATTTGGGAGCTGAACTTTTCTATTCTTCCTGGAGCTTCTTGCTTGTTCAGTATGGTCTCTGCATCTTCTCTTAAGATCTTTAGGATCTGACCTTCTCTTCTTGATTGCAGATGAAACGTTGCTCATCAATGTGATCTGTGGAGTGGTTTCAGGGGTGATCTCCTCTGCACTTGCCAATCCAACAGATGTGCTGAAGGTAAGACATTTATGTGGCCAGAGACAGCTCTCTGCCAGCTATGTTTTGCCATGTTGAAGCTGCTGCTTTCCAATGAAGGTGTGTCTCTTCCAGCTGCAGTGAAATGCTCTCCGAGCCGCTGCTGTATTAGTTCTGTTAATTTGGGCTTCTTATGAATGACAGCAGAAGTCCAGAGCAGGAAGCATTTTAAAAAAATGCAGCTCTTAAAGATCAGGAAACCGTTTATGGTGAGGAGGTATGGAGGTTGTGTTATCTTAAAAATGAGTAAAGTGAACGATGTGGTAGCTAGGCATTCAGCAGACCTCAGCTCCTTTCCCTGCAGCCACTGTGCTTAGTTTGGCTGATAAAGGTCAGTCCTACCTGTTACATGGAGTGACCAGAGTTCAGTGGGAACTGCTGGATCCCCTGCGTTCCCTACCGCTGGGCCACTGGGGTCAAGAAAACTCTGCTTTGAGCAGAGGGAGTTTGGAGAACTTTCCTACGCTTTTCCCTGTGTACATCTGCCTTCTGGGACTGCCTTCAGAGTGGAAAGGTCTTGCCTGTTGCTTCTCTGCATTATCTGAGTTTTGCACTGCACTTCCACCCTGCCACAGCCCCTGCTCCTTGCCTGCTGTAATCACCTGACACTCGGTTTCCAGTGAAAGGGCACGTGGGTAGCCTGTTTGCTCTGAGATGCTCCCTTCTACCAGGAGGTCCACTGAGCTGGTAACTTTGTCCTCTTGGTGAGGCCCCGATGGCATCCCGCTGACTCTCACTTCTGTTGCAGATTCGAATGCAGGCTCAAGGCAGTTTATTCCAGGGTGGCATGATTGGCAGCTTCATCGATATCTACCAGCAGGAGGGTACCCGAGGCCTCTGGAGGGTGAGTTGCTGGAAACCTTCTCTCTAGTAGCAGAATGAACAGCTTCCTCAACTTGTTTGCTGCTCCTCATCTCGTGTCTCTGGGCCCTGGTGCTGGATTTGCAGAGTACGGTGGCCCAATGGTAGTAACAAATTTCTGGTTCTGGTCGCTGGCCGAACAGAAACATGTGTGTGAAACGTGTGCTTAGGTCTGTGCTGCAGCAGCACCAGTGCTTGGCCAGGCAAGCCTGTTTCCCAGGACGGAAGCTGGTGTGCCTAAAGTTTCAAATAGATAAGTATCCCTTGAACAGATCAGCATTAGGGCTTGGACAAGCATTCCTGGGCTGGATCCTCCTTGTGCTCTGCTCTGGGAAGGATGCTCAGCCTGGCATATCTTGGGAGTCAGTCAGTTCTTTGGCTTTGTGTTAAGGAACCTCACTTGGTCCTTGCAATATGAAAGTCTTTATGCACTGAGGTACCCAGCTACCTGTCTAGGAGTGAGTTCAAGTACAGGAATTCCAAAATCAGAGTGCTTTTCTACAAGCAACAGTCCTATTTCTCTCTCATGGTCAGGGAAGTCCTTTACAGGAAAACAGGTGTTGCAATAAACTGGATGGGAAGAGGAGGGAAGGGGGAGAAGGGGTCAATCCACTGCTGGTTTTGACTTAGTGGTTACTCTGAGATTATTCCTACTCTCTAGACAAAGTCATGCAAGAGGGAAGGCGAGAACAGGAAAAAAAAATGCAACCATCTGTGTTGCTGATGTGTACTGCAGGCAGGATGCAGTGCACAGACATGTCAGTCTCAAGGTGGTTTCCAGTGATCAAGCTAATCTGGCTGCTCTCTGGTCTCGCACAACCATTAGGTAGAGCATCTCTGAAGTCCAGTTTTCCCTCATGTTGAGGCAAAGCTGTTTGTGCTATCCTGACATCTTGCCAGTTTGGGCAGTTATCTTGTGGGGATGACCTGATGTTTGAACTGGCTGTGCCAGGATTGCGTTAAGAGAGGAACCCAAAAGGAGACTGTCGGACGCTGCAGTAGCTCAGCAGGATGGGAACAGGAAGAAAGTAGTTTTAGTTCTTACAGTTGCTTTGGTTTTGTGTGATGAGACAGTCCTGGTGGGCTGTCTCATGATCTGGCTGAAATGAAGAGTTGCTCCTAATTCCAGTGACTGGAGAACTCTCCCATTACAATGTGGGTTTCCCTGAATTACTCAGATGGTGCTACAGTTGCTGTGCCATGGGTCCAACTTGGCATTGCTACTGTGTTCTTCTTGTCCTGCTGCCCAATTAAATTTGCACCCTTTTTATCTCATTCCTGATGGTGGAGTTTGCTGGGACATTTCTTGGACACAGCATAGCTGGCTCTTCTTACTTGAGCTCATGCTTGTTCTTCTCAGCTGTATTGCCAAATCCCAGGTCAATGTCCTGCCAGCAGCAACGCTAGCGGTACATGAAGAACTCCCAAATCACAAGCCTTAGCAAAGCAGAATCTGGCTGCTCTTGTGGAGCAAGGGTGACCTGGAGCCCCAGGTGGCTCCCTAGGTAGCTGCTGCCTTTGCTCTTGGGTTAATCTTCTCTGGTGCTGAAATCAGTGGGTACTGTTCAGAAGGGGAAGACTAGTGGATTGAAGCCTGATTTCTGTATGCTGTTGGCTGGGGGGAGAGTAGCACCATATGGTTAATCTAGGTGGATTAACACTGCCAGGGTGGAGGAGTCCTCTTTAGCTTTGCAGTAAAGTGGGGAGATGGTGAGCTGCTGTAACTGAGAAGCTTGCAGGAGCAATACAGGGCCAGGAGGATGCAAAGGAGATTGTCAGCAAAAGGCCCTTGAGAGGGACCTGGGGAGAGATGCTACGCTAGCTGCAGGTCCCCAGGCAGTGGTTTGCACTCGTGAGTGATGTTTGTGCTCTACAGGGTGTTGTTCCGACAGCCCAGAGAGCTGCTATTGTGGTTGGAGTGGAACTGCCAGTCTACGACATCACCAAGAAACACTTAATTCTGTCGGGCCTGATGGGTGATACAATCTTTGCCCACTTCATGTGAGTATTTGCCACAGCCGCTGCACTCTTCAAGCTTAGCAGGGGTTGGGAAGCAAGTGTTTGGCAGGGGAGGAAGGTGGGATTTGTGATGAAACCTTGGGCTGGTTTCTGATTAAAGAGCAAGCACTGTGGCACTACAGAGAATAGGCCTGGTACTTCCAAGGAATGTGCTGTGTCAACCGGAGCAGCTCAAAATGTCCAGCAAGCATCCCCAGGGAGACCTCCCTGGAGAAGGCACCTGGCAGAAAACTGGTGAAGTAAAACTGTGATTTCAGCTCGCTGATGTTACAGAAATGCTGGTCCCAGCCACTGTTGCTCCACATCTGTGCCCTGGTATGACCAAGTCAGGGAGATGTGAGCAGCAGGACTGCCAGCTGGGTGACTAACTGTAGCATCAGTTGAAAGAGCTGCTCCTAGGTCATCTCTACAGAGGCTTTCAGTTTGCAGCCACTGCTGTAAGAGTTCTGTGAGAGGACTTTTCAGAACTGACCTGGACAAGGCCCTGAGCAATCTGACCTAGCTTTGAAATCAGCCTTGCTCTGAGCAGGGGTTGCGTTAGAGACCTTCCAAAGACCTTTTTCATGTACACTTTCCTATAATTCTTCTGGCAGACACTTTAGCTGGAGGTGCTGCAGTACATCAGCTGGGTTTGCCTGTTATGGGCTGAAGGTGACAAACACTAGATCATACACACAGGGAGGAGAGTAGCAGCTTCATGCTCCCTCTTGCTGCCTTTGGTCTCTTCTCCTGCCCTGAAGCAATGTTTGCTCTGGTGAGAAGGATGTGTACATCCAAAAGGCCGCCTTCAGGTCTGTGTCACCTTGTCTGCACTGAGAACCCCCTGCCAGTCTGCAGGCTGCTCCTCTGGAGACCCAGCAGTGAGCTCTGGCAAAGATCTTGATCAGGCAAAGCTGAGCGTTTCCCTTCTCTGAGAGCTTCCTGGAGTCTCACAGTGGTGCATGTCCTTCCTCTGCCCGTTTCTGGATAGAAACAGACAGCGCAGTTCTAAGTTTCTTACTAAATGCTTTTCATAAAATTCAGTGAGGGATGCTCTCTATGCTTGTGTTGAGGCCTGTCTCCCATCCTGAGCCCAAATGGCCATGTTCAGAGCTGCTCCTCTCTGATGTTTTGGTGTATATAGTTCCAGCTTTGCGTGTGGGCTGGCCGGGGCCATTGCCTCCAACCCTGTGGACGTGGTACGGACACGGATGATGAACCAGCGGGCAATAGTAGGCAGTGTGGAGCTCTATAAAGGCACTCTGGATGGTCTTGTGAAGGTAAGGAAGTGACAGAGGTGGGCAAATCCCTGTCTTTAGGAGGCTGGCCAGCTGCCAGCAACATGTACCACTGATCTTAGCAATTAGGTTCAACGACCACAGCGCATGCATGTTTCAGACAAACCAGAGAAGGGCCTCAAACCACTTTCCTAAGTCCGAGTTCACCATCAGCTTGAGCATCCTTTCAACCTCATCTTATGGGAGAAAACTTTTAGTGATGTGGTTTGGTTAGGTTCTTAGTCTGCAAATGACACTTTGCCCAACCTGATGCGTTGGAGAGGTACCCTAACATTATTTCCAGTGGCCTATCTGCTTGCTTCAGCAGCTTTAAGGTCCGTTATGTTACACATGGCACTGAGGAGATGGGCAGAACAGGGACCTGAAGTGATCTCGCTGCATAGCACGCCAGGGGATGTGGAACTGTTTTGTGTTAAGGATGTTGTACTCTGTGAATGGTGTTTACCATGCGTGTCACATTGATTTCATCCCCAAAGCATAGGCTTGACCCCTTACTACTGTTGGTGTTCCTGCAGCAGAGCTCTTCCCTTGACTTCCTACTGTCTGCAATATCTGACTATGCCTGGAGGGGTGTCTCATAATTGATCTGTCTCTTCTCTCCTCCCAGACATGGAAGAGCGAGGGCTTCTTTGCACTCTATAAAGGTTTCTGGCCCAACTGGCTTCGACTTGGTCCCTGGAACATCATTGTATCCTTCAGAGTGTTGCTGGGAGGTCAGGAGTGTGGGGAGGCATGGGAAGACCAAGCCGTAAGGCAAGTTCAGAGCAGACTCCCTGACGGGGCACCTTTGCTCATCACCCTATAGGCTGTGTCCTTCCTGCAGCAGTCCAAAGTGAACACCCTGTGCTGCCTGCACAGACACAGGCTGTGATGTGGCTGTAGCTGGTTCAAGTGCCTGAAAAATGCCACTGGTTGTGACTGCTGTTTCTAACAGCCAGCTCTGTGGGTGGCCAGCGCAGGGACTTCCAGTGCAGGAGCACTGGAATCTCTTGTAAAGTGTGTGCTCTCAAACGCTTGGCTTGAGACTCTCCCTTTGGCCTGAGCTCCTGGAGGTGCAGCAGTTTCTGGACTGGCTTCTGTTTTGGGAGGAAGCCTGGGGAACGTTCTTCTGCTCTGAGATGGGTGCTGGCCTGCTCTGCAGGATTAGTGTTGCTGTGTTGCTGCACTGGCTCCTTCTTGCCCTCTGAAAATATGTATATAATTTATTTAAAATAAGTCACGTCTTAAAAAGTACGTGCCTAGGCTGAAGCTACCTCTCTTCCTCAATGGTCTAGGCAGGCCTGGGCCTGCTTGTTTGTGGGTCAGTCTCTTCCCTCTCCTGGTAGCTCTCCTCCCACAGCTCCCTCTTCCATCTGTTCAGGTCACTTTATGTGGCCTAGAAGAGGGGGCTTCCCTGTCTTGGCCTTCAGCCAGACTGCACTGATGCTTTCCCTGTCTTGCCTCTGGTCACTGGTGTGGCCTGGCCATGTGGGAAGGCCCAGTACAGATGCCCAATGTATTTGAGACAGATTCTTGACATTTCTGTCAGTTTTTTATCACCTATGAGCAGTTGAAGCGACTTCCGTTCTGAGACCTGGCTTCATTCCATGAGGACCGTCCTCAAGACTTGCAGCAGAGAGTGTTGCTGCTGCCTTCCTATTCATTTCACCATCCCTGTGTTCTGATGTTTTGGTACAAGTGGGTCCGGGCCCTCATCTCCCCCAAATTGCATGGTCCCTGGAGCATGTTCTGGCTGAAGTGAAACTGGGAGGTTGAAGGCAGACGCTGCATGTGATTCTTTAGCTGAGAAGATAAGTGATCAGCTGCTTTTCTTTTGGCTGTTGGTACTTAGAGCCTGAAAAGGGTATGGCATATTTGTGATGGACGGCTTTGTGAAGATACAGTTCAGCACTGAACTGTTCCTGATAACTTTCTCTTATCAATGTTGAACTGTGTCTCCTAAGTTTCAGTAGTGCTTTCATTTCTGTTAGAAACCCTGTGGCTGCCTTCAGCATGTAAAATGTGTTGCTACCCTTGGGCCAAAGACAGATATTTGTATGTGGCTCTTGTCAACTTCAGAGGGAGTTGCTTGCCTGCATGTTATGAGGAAAGAATAGCAAAGCTGATGCTCTTAATGGATGCTTGCTATTTTCCATAAGAGATGAACTCTGTTCTCATAATAGCACGTGTTGTGAAAGGACCTTGGTCCTAAATTAACGCTTACTACTTTAAAAGCATACTTTGTGATTACATATTAAAGACTAACAAATTGGCAATATGTTATGGCTAAGAATTGCTGAAAGCGGTTAATGGCTTTTGATTTTTTTTTTTTTTTTTTTTCTTTTGACACAGAGACAAGTATTAACTGTACAAGTGTCTGGGCCTGAAGCGGTATCTTCTGTGAAGATCTGTGCATTCTAGTGGCCTTTGGATGCAGCTGTGGTTTGTTGTTTGGCTCATGTGCATTTCTCTGCCGTGCCTGTGGGTTGAGGCTGGAAGGAGTGCAGTCATGTTTTCCTGCAGACATGTAACCTCATTAAATTATTTATTGACTGGATGGCATGAGTTTGTGTTTGTGCAGATTTACTGCAGGTGTATTTCCCAGAGCACATGGTGTGTCTGCCCTTGAAGGGAATGGAAGCAATTTTTTCAGCACAATACATACCTTTTTTTTCCAAGCATACTTTTTTCTAGCAATTTTTGTAAAATAGGTCAAAGATTCATTATAACAGAAATATTTCTAAAACACAGGTTCATTGTTAGTGTTAAAAAATTATGGTGCTGTACTGTCAGCTCAGTTTTGCAAAACCTCAGTTTGCCTTACATGATTTACTTATGTTATTTTTAAAGCAATGTGGAGCAATTTAAAAGTGAAATTAGACGTCCCATCACTTTCAAATAGTGGCTCTAGCATGGCCAGTGGTAAGCAGAACAGCAAGCAAGATATTTATGGTCATTTTCTGTTCTTTTAAATACATATGGGTGTGAAAGCAAACAGTCTTTATGTTCCTATTCCCTTCCCCCTTTATGAGACAGGTTTAGTTTCGATGAAGGTCCCATGTGACATACAGCAGTGCTTTCTATCTGGGAGTGCTGTAAGCTGTGATTCTATCCATGCAAATTGAACAAGGGACAGTCAACCACATTCAGCCCTGACAAATAAGAGAATTGTTTTTTTTGGTTTTGCAAAGGCATCTTTGTATTGTATTAACTGAATGTAAGGTACAAATTCAGAAGGAAGATGACTCCAATAAACTATGTAGGGACAGAAGGAATAGAAGGAAAAAATTGCTTGTAGATCTTGCAGTAAACAGAGGTATTAAGAAAGGACCAGAGTTCACCAGGCTGGGAGGATTATTTTCAGAGTTAAACCCTACTTAAAAGCTACCAGAAACTGGAAGCAGTGGATTAAAGAAAGCGGACAAGGTTCATGTGCTCCCCTAGCTTTACTCTTGAAGAGGATTTCTAAATATCAAAAATGAAATAAATGATTTGTATTCATCCATACAAAAGTGATATCAGAAACTTATTTTAACTGTTAAATTCTTTGGGCTTTCTTCAGTGCTTCTGTAACTTAAGCTTTGAAACAGTATCCTCTGCAGCTCCATGGGATGTTGCTGCTGTTGTAATTTTTTGGCATGATCCTCCAACAGCTCTTCGGTATTTGCAGTTGTTATCCTGTCCACGTTCTTTAGACCAGTGTAATGAGCTCCTCAGAAATGCGTAAAGAATATCCCCATGGCCATGTCGCTGTTTGCATTTCTTAGCCAGAAAGTGCTGAAGAGAGACTCTTCTCCTCAGTTCTCCTCCTGTTGGATCAGCCCCCCACAGACGGCTTTGGAGATGCTCCTTCCGCTTGTCTGAGTGGTCCCCAGCTCCTGGAGACATTGCTTATCTGAGCTGTTGATTGAATTGGCTGTCATAAATGTTGCCTCGTGTCACTCTGCCTTGCTTTGTCAATAGTAACTGTGAGTAAATGTACCACTGCTGATGGTGGCAATCTCTCCGGATGTGACAGTGAGGCAGAGGCTGCCTGTGAGCGCTGCCTTGCATTGTGGACCTTAGGCACAGCACCAGGTGTTTTCTGAAGATGGTCATAAACCCCTTCATGCAGAAAGCATCTTGCCTTTGCAGCTCTGGCAGGGGAGAAAAACTGAGTCACTTTGGGTTTCTCAGGTGGTGAAAAATTAGTATTTTGATAGATGTTAAAAAATATATATATATAAATCTCAGTTGTAACTGCTTGTGCAAGGGGATGACACTGTTATAGATCTTGCATTTTCTAAGGAGGTTCATCACCTCAAGAAATCCTTCCTAGAAGCATTCCCTAAACATGTTTGTCTTATTTGTTCAGGCTTATGTCTTGCTTTTTTTTTTTAAGCTTTTCTTAACCATGCTAAGTAATGTGTGAGAGTCTAACTGAGCAGTCCATGTACCCAAGTCTGTTAAATGTGTGTTGATGCATATCCTATTACTGCCCTAGGAAGTGGAGGTGTATGAGCTCTCCAGGGCCAGAGCTGCCCCACAGTCAGTGGGGTGGGATGTGTTAATGCCTTGCAGGCATTACCCTTGTGCTGCCTTCAGTGGCTGTGCCATCTTGTAGTGTGCCACGTGCTTGTGCACTGTGGCATTTTTTCCACCAAGGTGTGCCAATATGGCTTTCATACTGCTGCGTATGAGATTTGAATTAAAAGGTAAATGGAGTGTTGTTTTTAAACCAAGGGCTGAGCAAGCTGCCTGGGGAGGGGGGGCAAAGTTTTGTATTGAGATGCAACTGTCTTGTAGAAAACCCTCCTGTGTTACTATTTAATTTCAGAAAAATGAATTAAACAGCTTCATTCTACTTGAGAGGTTTATAGGATAAACCAAAATTAGAGGGTTAGTGTCTCAGGGTAAATATGTCTCATCCAAAATGGACACTAGAAAAGACCTGTCTGCTCACCACATGCACACACAAGGGCTTAACAGTTTAACTCTGGTGTGGAGGTGGTATGAAAGGCATCCTGGAAAAAAGTTGAACACCTGCATGAATGTTGAAAGTAGAAATATGCATGGTCCCTGGTACATTAAATATAATATTAGGTGCTTTTTCACATAGAATGGAGACGCCTGCCAGGAGAGTGTCTCTGGCACTGGCAGATAATCAAGTATATAAAATATAAAAAAAGAAGCGCTAGAAAAAGTGAAGACCATAGTAGAAAAGCTGAACGTTGTCAGTTTTCACTTGGAAGAGCTCAGAGTGATTCCTCTGTTGCAGACTTTGGATAGGGCAGCGGGGAAGTCCGTCTCCAGCTAAAACGTTGGGAGAAGAGGTTAGGGGACAGGCTATTAATTGAACACAAGCAAAGGGCTGGGCTGGGGTGACCCCAAATTGTCACGGAACCTCAGGCTGAAATGGCCAGAGCTCTTGTTTGTAGCCTCTCATTTAAAGTTCCCCTCACATTAGGGAACGGAAAGCATCACAAACGCGGGCAGGGTTTAAAAAAAGGTTTTGGGAGGTTTCAGCAAACTACAGCTGCTGTCTGTGCCACACTGGTAGAAACTATAATGAAGACTCAAGACCCAAATGACTATGATATGTGCTGGAAGAGCCAACAGCTGAGGGAGGAGGAGGAATTTAGGCTTCAAATCTTCTGGGAGGTTTCTGAAAGAGTCGGCAAGCATGTGGACCAGGAAGGTGGAGTTGATCTGTTTTGTCTGGATTTCCAAAAGGCTTTTGATCAAGTCCTTTATTAAAGCCGTGAAAGAAGCTAGGCTGATGCTGGATAAAAGGAAAATGCCTGTCTGGCTCTAATAAATGTCATGATACAAAGTATTCAGGGTTGTAATGGGGAATGATGGCAGCAGTGAGCTACCAGAGGGGTATCATGAAGTAAACATACCAAGTGATGTGAAGAGAAGGAAGCACTGCCAGTAATGGCTACTGAACCTGCTGTGGTCTCCTAGCAGTAGAGATTTTGTGCTGTGTGCTGCGAAAACGCCCGTTCAGTTCTGGCCGAGGGGGGTGGAGAAGGCCCTGTGGAGTAGGCCTGCCCCTGTCTCCACAAGCTACTGTGGCTACTATGACGCTGCATATTGGACAGGGCAAGGATGCACTTATGGAGAGGCAGTACCTCTAGTTTGCATTTTTGCTTTCTTCCCTAGCTCTCCTGCCGTTTCTCCTCTCTCTATCTAGTCTCCCACCCACCTCCATCCCATGGGAGCTGGGCCCTCTTGCCTGTCAGGATTGAGGTTGCTCAAATGCCTCCTTGTGGGAGACTCCTTGTGGTCCATGGCTGAGCCTGGTGGGGGGAGCAGGCCAGCTCCAAGTACCGGTGCCATCCTGTTCCTAGTTTGTGCAGACCTAGTGCGTTCCTAAGGGCCTTCCCTGGTGTGCGGCTCTGCTTACAGTGGCCGCGCTTTGTATTTCTGCTGCATCTTCACTCCCCGCTGCAGGGTCTGCACTCTTCCCTTTGGCCATGTCCTGTCCTTGACCAGCCCTGGAGCTGTGTTGTTCCCCTTGTCTGCGTCCTGCCCTTGGCCCTGCTCTCAGCCTCTCCCTGGCAGCCTGCTCTTTCCAGGTTACTATTTGACAGACCAAGGCCTGAATCTTCCCTGTTTCCTGGCAGCTTGAATCTTTCCAGCTCCTGAGGCAGAAGCGGTGGTTTGCGGCACTCTGTTTCAAAGGATTAGTGTGGTTTCCTTGGTCCCTATAGGAAAAGACTGCCCTGGGTCTGGCAGCAACCCTGCAGAGGCCCTATGAGCCACCTATGCATCCTAGTGGGGCTGTACATTTGGTGCTCTCTTTGCTTGTTCCCCTCTTTTATCATCACCTGTGTCAAAAGCAGGGTGTTAACCCTGCCCAAGTGCTCAGTGCGTGGCTGGGGATGACCAGCTCCCCGTGTGCCATCGCAGCAGCCTCACCGGACAAGGAGTGATCGGAGCATGTTCCTAGTGCCCGCGTGTGCTGCAGCCTTTGAGCTGGTCTCAGTGGCCACACTGAGGGAGATGCTGGAGAGGCTGATGGTGGTGGTCCCAAGGTGGGAGATGCTGAAGCTGCGTGTACAGGGGCTGCCGGGATGCTGTCAGGGTAGGGAGCTGTGGGAGCACGAACAGGATGTTTGGGAGGAGAGCAGCCTTGGCACAGCCTTGCGCAGGCTTCCTGTCCAGGTGCTTACTGCTCCCCTCCCTGCTCCAGGGTTGTCTGGAAACGTAGCTTGAGGGGAGGGACCTCCGTGGGCACAGCAGGCACTGGGAGCGCACCAGTCCTTTCTGGCAGGCAGCTGCAGAGTAGAGCTCTGCTCCCTGACTTCCTGGCCTGAAGGAGACACTGCTGCACCCAGGGCTTTCACTGCGCTGCCTGGAGAGTGAAGGACCACGCTTGCTGCCCCCCATCACCTGGGAACTGAGCTGTGTGAGCTGGAAGGCCCTGAGCAAGGGATGCCTTAGAACCACATAAGAGCCACACCGTCCTCGGGCTGTGCCGTGTAGGGGACAGCCATGGCCACCTCAGCCTTCGGACTCATCCTTGCTGTGCTGGCCTCGCTCATCATCACTGCCAACGCACTGGTGGCCGTTGCCCTCCTTCGTCTCATCCAGAAGAGCAGCTGCAATGGGCTCTACTTTGTCCTTAACCTGGCTGTCGCAGACTCCATGGTAGGCTTCACAGTTGTGGGTCTGGTCATGGATGAGTTTTCCCCGCCCTTTTATCCCACCCAGACCTTCTGTGTTCTGAGAATGGCTTTCGTGACTTCCTCCTCTGCTGCCTCCATCCTGTCCCTGACGCTGGTGGCCTTTGACAGGCACTTGGCCATCAGGCAGCCTTTCCATTACTTCCGGCTGATGACGGGCCTGCGGGTTGGAGTGCGCTTGGTGGGACTCTGGCTGCTTGCTGCCATCATTGGCTTCCTCCCAGTCCTCGCCCCAAGCCTTCAGCAGACCTCCACCTCCACCATTGACAAGTGCTCCTTCTTCGGAGTCTTCCAGCCAAGATACATGCTCACTGTCTTTTGCATCGGCTTCTTCCCAGCACTCTTTCTTTTCATATACCTCTACTGCGACATGCTGAAAATTGCAGCCATGCATGTGCAGCACATTCGGGAGGTGGAGCACGCAGGGCTGGCAGGGAGCTGCCCCCCATCCCGCGCCACTAATGACATGAAAGCCATGCGCACTGTGGCTGTGCTCACTGGGTGCTTCACGCTGTCCTGGTTGCCGTTCTTTATCGCCAGCATCGTGCAGACCATGTGCCTGGAGTGCTTCCCCTACAAAGTCATTGAGAACTACCTCTGGCTGCTGGGACTGGGTAATTCCCTCCTGAATCCCCTGCTCTACTCCTACTGGCAGAAGGACGTGCGGCTGCAGCTCTCCCAGCTGGCTGCCAGTGTGAAGAGGAGAGTCCTCCTTCGCCTGGGGAATGGCTCCGGTTTCCCCAGCAGAAGCACTAAGTCCCTCCCCACCGTGTCCTGCTTGCGGCTCCAGGACTGATGTGGTAAGGAGCAGCTTTCTAGCTCATCTCCTCCATCACAATCACAAACTTGGGCCTGCCAGATGGGAGGGGCTCCCAGACAGGGTGGGCCAGGTTTTGGATGCTAATTCCCAGACATTGGCGTGGCCAAATTCAAGCTTGCCTGTAGCCCCATGGAGCTACAGCATGGTCCATTTGGCACCAGCTCGAAGGCACCCCAAACTGCAGGTGCCTGGGGCACACATTGGCTTCGGCGTCTGCTGGTACCAAATCCTTGGTGCTTGGCTCCAAGGGCTATGATCACTTGTCCATCCCTGTCTGGCTTCTCCCGTCCAGGGATGGAATCCTCCTCTGCCCTCCCATCTGCCTGTGGTGCCAGCACTCTGGACCACAAGCCCCAGGTGCCTGGACAGGGCTCCTCTCTCAGCATCAGCTCCTTTGTCTTCAGCCCCTTGGCCAGGTGCAGCACCCAGGTGGGCAGAGTCTGGAGGCTGGGAGATGTGTGCACATCCTAAATCTGTCCTGCACCACGAGCACTCCCAATCATTGCACTACCTAAAGCAAACTGACAATCCTGCAGCCTGCTGCACACCTGGGAGAGCTGTGGGCCAGCACAGGCTGCACTGTTGCTGGCTGGTTTGGGTTGTAAAGCAAGTTAACGATTGACTGGCTGAGTACTGAGCTGAACCGGAGGAGAAAAAGGAATGGTTGCCTCAGAGCTGGGGAAAGCTGTGCAGAAGAGCTGCTGTGTCCCACTGGGGCTATAGGGCTGGATTTCGGGCCTGAGAGAGACCCTACACACTGACTCATCTGATGGCAGCATGCAGCACACAGCACTTAAGCACATCCCATCACACTGCAGTAATGTTCAGACCACTGACCCTGCCAAAGGCTATGGTGACTTTTAATTGCTTTTTGTAAAATCACGTCCATTTAATTCACGTGGCAAGAAAACTTCCCTTGAAATAGGCTTCTTAGATAAGAACTCATCCTAATCTGAAAATGAGGGTGCTATGCACAAAATAGCAGTTCTCCACCTCCATCATTTGCCCCACTGGTAGATATGAAGGCTCAGGGCTATATCCAGCCGGCAGCCAGAACCTGCCTCGGTCCTGAGGCCTTCCTCATCCCAGAGGAAGAAACAAAAAAAAACACCCTACAAAAACAAGGCACTTCATGGCACTCACCTCTTTGCCTGGGAAGGACCTGAAACTGAATACTACGTGGCAGATCCGTTCCTGGCTGTACCTCGTGATGATGAGCTTGAGATAGGGCCTACACAAAGCAGACCTGGCCCCGTGGGTGAACTGATACCTCGTAGGTGGATCTAGTCTGAGTCAGTTCTGGGGATTAGTGCATCATCTGTCTGTATGACGTGTTTGCTGCCTGTTCTTGGTGAAGCCCAGGGCTCCACCAGCTGTGGCTTTGCAAAGTTGACCCATCTTCCTTGACTGTCTAATAATGCCAAAGTTGTCCTCTGCCTCCCTGCAAAATGCATCACGCAAACGGTGTTGCATGCAGGTATCCAAGTGGGAAGAGGGATGCTTTGCAAGCATTGCTGCTTCCTGTGCTTGCTGATTGCTGCCTCTGCTGCTGTGTTGCAGCACATAACCCCAAAGCAGGCTCAGCCAGCGGCAGTGCTTGTGCCTAGGCACAGGGCCACATGAGAGTGAAGGTCTGAAGTGTGAGGACAGGATCAGTACCCTGGGTTGTGTAGACAGGTAGCCAGCATGGTTTCCCCATCTGCAGTGGGGATCACAGCTCAGGCAGCCTCCCTGATCTCCCAGCATCTCCCTGCCAGAAATGCTGCAGAGACCCGAGGCAGTGACCTGGATGGGGAAGAAAACACTCCTGCCCAGCTCGCGTGCTGCCAGAGGACACACTCCTGCTGCAAACGGAACATCTCCTTGCGGTGGAGGATCCATCCCTCGCTGAGCATCCCGCACGCTGGTGCTGACTAGGAGATGCTCTGTCTCCTCTCTCCATGCCATAGGCTGGGAGCTGGTGCATGCAGATTGCAGATGGGGGTAGTCAGAGCTTGGTACTTCTAGATCCTGCTGGGATAGCAAGGACCAGCAGCCATTCCTGCCCCCTGTGCAAGACTACGTCTGCTTTCATCTCTTGTCCTGGAGAGCGTCTGTCCCCCCACTGTGCCACTGTCGCACCAGCCATGCAGTGACTCCACTGGTACCTAGCACTGTGCATCACCCCAGCACCCAGAGGCTACAGGAGCATGCCTGGAAGGCAGTGGCAAGTCCAAGGCCATGGAGGAGGGAGCAGACAGGATTATTCCTGCCCTGAAGCCATGACAGGACAGGAGAAGATGGTCGAGTGCTTCTGCTACTTGGTGTCATATCAGCTGAATAAATCACATTTCTGCCAGCTCTGGTTGGTGTTCCTGGTAATGCAGGGCGGGTTGGCACTGCAGCAGGGGTCCTGCCCAAGGCTGGTGGACATGGACATCAGCATGCATGTGCACTGACGTGCTCTCCTACCATGCTGTGCCAGCCCATTAGCAGCCAGGGTCTCCTGATACACATTGGCACCAGTCCCTCTTGCATTCATCCTTCTGGTGATGGTTTGGGTCCTTCTGGGGGCTTTCAACTCTGCTCTCCAGCTCCTGGGAGAAGGCTCTTTCTCCATCCATCTGATAGCACAGGCACAGCAGGA